AGAGATCTTTCAGGACGACCCGCCGGCGCTCTACAAAGTCCACGATCTCCCACTCATGCCATCCGAGGGGAGTAAAAAGATGAAGCACGCGATTGCCGTTGTCCCGGGCTACCAGGGTGAGATCAACGTGGATGCGGTGCGGGATGCTATGCTCGTCAATGATTACAATGGCCTCCCAGAGCCTCTGCGCCCCAAGACTGATTGGGAGGCCCTGTACACGATGCAGTTGGCCCTGGTGCCCGTCCCGCATGGCGAAGGGATGGACATCGTCAAGTACTACGCTTTCTCTGTCCCGCAGTCGGTGACCGACATTCAGAACCGCCTCGCCCTCGACGACGAAGTCTTGTACGCCGCTTCTTGGGGCAAGGGCGGGGACGTCAAGACGCCGTGGAAGGTCTTGGTCTACATGATGGATCGGCTTGGCGGCACGCACTTTCGGTACCACCTGCCCCCGCAGGAGAAGGGCGACAAGGAGAAGAAAAAGTGCCTTCCTCAGGACGTGATCGTAGCCCAGTACCAGTTCATTAAGGACAACGCCCCGCGCGGCAACTTCGATTGCGAGCAGATGATGTGGATCGACTTCCAGCTGAACGACCCGCAGAGCCCAATCCACCATTGGAAGGAGGGGAAGATCAAGGAGGTTCTCTCGCACATCAAGGACCAGAGCACACAGGCGAGCAAGGTCACGCACTTCCCCATCTTCATATTCGACGCGGGGGAGGAGGGCATCGAGCGCGCGAAGCGCCTCGTTCCGACTTTCAAGAGCCACTCTTGCCTCATGGTCGGCGAGGCTGGCGAGGGGAAGACGCCGTACTTGGAGACCATGGCGCCCGCGATGGGTGACTATTACGCGGACAAGCTGGGGAACCGCAGCGCGGCCTCGCACCGCGCGGCGCCAGACCTGGACTTCTTCCGCGCAGAGGAAGGCACGAAGCACTGCCCCTGCGTGTTCGACGACGGCGATTTATTCGACCAGCGCCCGATGACGTTGAAGGCTTTCCTGGACGTCGGCCAGTGGCAGGCCATGACGAGGGAGAGGTGGGGGGCAGCGAAGTTCGTCCGTGGTCAAGCGCGCTTCGCCGCGGAGAACAAGTACGACGAGGCGGCCGTTCCTAGCTGGGACGCGTGGCGCGGCCTGGACGTCTTGCCGCTCAAGCAGGCGGTCCAGAAGAGGAACGAGTTCTTGTTCGACACGCTGAAGCCGACTTTCCCAAAAGACATGTCCAAGGCGAACGTCATCGCGATCGCGAAGCGGTCTTCCGTCGTCATGAACACACCTGATGACGTCTTCGAGCGCCTGGCGGGGTTGGGCTCGGACGCGACGAGAACCCCAAAGAACGGGCATTTCATTACCAAGCAGGCGGGCACCATTCTCTACAACTACATCGAGAACGGCATCGAGCGGGCCCCCGAGGAGTACAACGTGCTGAGGGACAAGCAGCTCCGCTTCATGAAGGGGTTGCTCGACAAGGGCGCCGTGCCCATGCCCGTGCCGGTTAAGAGGGAGCTCGTCGACGGCAGCGAGGACGACGCAGACGCGGCGCTCCGCGAGCCTCTGCCAAGCCTGCCCCATCGCATCAAGTGGGCCAGGCCTTTCGGGAGCATCCCAGGCGGCCAGATTGACATCACGACGCCGCCGCGCGCGGCCCGCGCGTCGTAATCCGCGGACATAGCCCCCGAGAGTGCCCACGACGCCAGCTGCCCCCTGGGCACTCAGGATGTGGATGCTGCTATGGCCGACGCGGATCTCGGGGACCAGATGGGCCTTGGCGGAGGCATGTCTGGCGATACTGACTGAGCGGGCGGCCGACAGCCAACGCGGCGCTTCGGCCTTGCGTCGATTCATCCCCTGATTGAGCAAGTGGCGGCCAACGGCCATAGCTGCCCCTTTGCTATATAAAACACGCGCCCCCGTTGATAGTGCGGGCGCAGCAAACGACGGCATGCCATACTCATTGAAAACGCCATATCTGCCTGGCTCCGCTATGCCTGCCTCTTTCTTGTCTCCCTCTGTCCTCGGCTCCTCTTTGCTGCTGGTTCCCTCTCCCTGCTGTTGACTAGGAAGCACCAACTGATCGTGTTCTCCTCCGTTTCCCCGTCCGTCTCCTCCTCGTTCTCCGTTCCTCCTCCTTCTCCTCCTCCCCCTCTCCTCCTCCCCCTCCCCCTCCTCTTCCTCCTCCTCCTCCTCCTCCTCATCCTCCTCCACCTCCTCCTCCTCCTCCTCCTCCTCCTCTTCCTCCTCCTCACCCCCCGACGCATTGCGGAGTACTGCCATACCTTGACCCCCTCCTTGCTCCCCCCCTCCCCGTCTTCCTCCGCCTCCCTCAGGGACAGTGTGCCAGGCAGGAAACCTTGTGAAAACACATATAATTCTGATATGTTTGGTGGTTTTCTTAAGGAAACCCTGTAAAAACACACATAAAAAACACATATAAAACTGATGTTTTAAGGTTTTCTGGAGATGGCGCCCCCTCTCCCCCTCCTCCCCGTCCTCCTCCGCCTCCCTCAGGGACAGTGGCGCCATCTCCAGAAAACTTTAAAATATCAGTTTTATATGTGTTTGTACAGGGTTTCCTTAAGAAAACCACCAAAAATATAAGTTTTATCTGTGTTGTTACATGGTTTCCTTAAGAAAACCACCAAAAATATCAGAATTATCTGTGTTTTCACAAGGTTTCCTGCCTGGCACACTGTCCCTGAGGGGGGCGGAGGAGGACGGGGAGGAGGGGGAGGGAGGGCGCCATCTCCAGAAAACCTAAAATATAAGTGTTATCTGTGTTTGTACAGGGTTTCCTAAAGAAAACCACCAAATATATCAGAATTATCTGTGTTTTTACCGGGTTTCCTTAAGAAAACCACCAAAAATATCAGAATTATCTGTGTTTTTACATGGTTTCTATGATGAGGGTGAGGAGGAGGAAGAGGAGGAGGAGGAGGAGGTGGAGGAGGAGGAGGAGGAGGAAGAGGAGGAGAAGGAGGAGGAACGGAGAACGAGGAGGAGACGGAGGAGGAAACGGAGGAGGAGAACACGAAGAGGAGGAGGAGAAGGAGGAGGAACGGAGAACGAGGAGGAGACGGAGGAGGAAACGGAGGAGGAGAACACGATCAGTTGGTGTTTCGTTTGTTTTGGGGTGGTCTGGGGGTGCTGGGGGGGGTCGACCATATGTATATGTATATGTGTATGTATGTATGTATGTATGTATGTATGTATGTATGTATGTGTACGTGTGTGTAAGTATGTATGTACGTATGTATGTGTGTATGCATGTAAGTATGTATGTAGGTATGTAGGTAGGTAGGTAGGTAGGTAAGGATGTAAGCATGTATACCTATATATATATATGTATATATATATACATACATACATACATACATACATACATATGTATGTTGTGTCCCTCCCTCTCTCCATCTCCCCATTTATCTATCTCGGAAAGGGCGTGTTCTACCGCTGCTGGCGGAAAACCGGGGGGGTCACTACCGGTTCGAACCCCTCCCCCCCGCCCTCCGGAAAACCGGGGGGGGTCACTACCGGTTCGAACCCCTCCCCCCCCCAGTCCATCATGAAAAGGGGGGGGGCCACTACAGGTTCGAACGCCCCCACCCCTCGAAAACCGGGGGGGCGCCACTACCGATTCGAACCCCCTCCTCCCCCCCTCGAAAACCGGGAGGGGGTGCGGACAGTGGTGGGGACGGTGGTGGTGGGGACAGTGGTGAGGGGACAGCGGGACAGTGGTGCGGACAGTGGGACAGTGGTGGGGACGGTAGTGGTGGGGACAGTGGTGAGGACAACGATGGGAACAGTGGGGACAATGGGACAATGGTGGGGACGGTGGTGGTGGGGACAGTGGTGTGGGGACAGCGGGAACGTGGTGGAAACAGTGGGACAGTGGAGGGTACAGTGGTGGTGGGGACAATGATGAAGGCGGTGGCGAGGACGGCGGTGGGACAATGGGACAGAGGTACAGTGGGGACAGTGGTGGGGACAGTGGGGACAGTTGGTGTGAACAGTGGGACAGCTCAGTGGGACAGCGGAGGAGTCAGTGGGACAGTGGGGACAGTGGGGATAGTCGGGCAGTGGTTGGGGCCGTGGAGAAAGTGGGGAGAGTGGAACCGTGGTGGGAACAGTGGTGGGGACAGTGGGGACAGTGCGACAGTGGTGGGGGCACTGGTGGGGACAGTAGGGACGAACAGTGGTGGGACACCGGAGGAGTCAGTGGGGACAGTGGGGATACTCGGGCAGTGTGGTGGGAACAGTGGTGGGAACAGTGGGGACAGTGTGGTGGGGGCACTGGTGGGGACAGTAGGGACGGTGGCGGAACCAGCGGGGACAGTGGTGGTGAGGACGGTGGCGCTGGGAACAACAGCGGGGGATGTGGTGCGGACGGTGGTAGGGACCGGGAGTCGTACGCTAGCGGCGAGGGGGGGGTGGGAGGGGTTCGAACCCGTAGTGACCCCCCCTCCGGTTTTCGAGAGGGGGGGGGTCGAACCAGTAGTGACCCCCCCCCGGTTTTCGAAGGGGGAGGAAGGGGGGGGGAGGGGGGAGGGGTTTTGCCGGGGAAGGGGGGGTCTGAATCCCAGGGAGCCCGAAAGAGGTCCACGACCAAGGAGTCCAGGGCCTCGAGCTCCTCAACACAGGATCGTCAATATGTTCCGCTATATTGACGCTGGATTGTCAGAACACAATCAGAGAAATAAAGACGGCACCCGCTGCCCTCGCAAATCTTTCCCGGCACGTCCCCAGAGCGCGCCACTGCCTGCGAACTCGCAGGCGCATCCAGAATGGAATCCCGCCAACCCTCGCCTGATCCGAGGTGGCGGCGGCACACTGCAATGATAATGGTAGCAGCGAGCGAGAAGTCAAGCACATGAAACAAACTCGGTACAACTGCTAGCAACAGGAGATACCCCTATCACATTCAGACAGGGGGAAAAAGAAGTTGCAGTGTGCCAGGGGCCCCGCTGGCCCAAAACTGAACAAGCACAGGAGCAGGTCTCATTCACGAAGATTTCTGCTGGAGGCCGAGCACTGGTCGTACACTTTTGGCGCTGATCCGGCCGGTGGTGGTCCGCACTGTTGCTGTTGTCGAAGCTGGCGTCGCTTCTCGATGACCTCCTTGGCCGACCTGGGAGTCGCCGGGCGCCGTCGGCTCGAAGATGCCCTTGCCCAGCGCCGCGCGCTTCCGCGCGCTCATGAAGTGCTCGTCGTAAATCAGCCGCCATTCCTGCTTCTCGAGGAACAGCTTCAGCACCCCGAACGCCTGCCAATTGCCCTTGGTGAGGCCGTCCGCGATCTGCGCGCGCGAGTGGACCCACCTGACCACGGCGTTGCCCTCGTCGAGCGCGTTCCGAAGTGCCAGCGCCTCGACGGCGGCCCGGCGCTCCCCCAGGCCCAGCCCAGCCGACTGGGACCGCACCACGCCGTCGTAGAACGCCTTGCAGTCCGTCACGAGCACCGCTGGGATGGCCTTCAGGAGGGTGGCCCGCTCCTGCGTCGGCGAGCGGTTGTACAGCAGCTCCGACAGGACCATCCGCACCATACACTGTTCTCCTTCAGCATCTCCAGCCTCTTGAACTTCGGCAGCCAAACTCGAACGGGCCACGCGTCGTAGTTTCTTGGAGCCCCAGTCGAGCACTGTGAACTTCGCCTTCTCGCCCTCGATGGCCTGTGCAGTTGCGATCGCCGTCAGATGTCCTCCTTGAGAGTGACCGTCGGGCCGACTGGCCCAGGCTGCATCGCACCAGGTGGACACGGCCAGGTCGTCGAATTGTGCCTGTAGATCTGGAGGCCCATGCGCTGGCGCTGCTTAATCAGCTTCACGATGTTATTGGCCGCGCTGAACAAATTGCGAGCCCCGCCTGGGATCTTGGACTGCAGCTCGGCCACCCACGACAACACGAAGGGCACGGTGTTCACGCCCAACCAGTAGACCTCTCCACAGAAGGCCCGCAGGATGGTCTGGTCGCTCTCGCGCAGGGTGTCCGTCGAACGGTGGCGGCCTCCATCAGCTGGTTGAACTTCTCGAATCTTGTCCGCGTAGGCGTGCTGATGAAGAAAGAAGCCCTGGTCGTTCTCCTCGATGGTGACCCCGCACTGCTCGAGGCTCTTGATGGAGTCGTCGATCATGTCCCCCCAGGTGCCCCACTCGTAGAGCTTGCGAATCTGCTCGAAGATGCTCGCCCAGAGACTGTGGCTGTTGTCACCAGCCAGGATGAGGTCGTCCACGTGAGCCATGGCCAACCCAATGAGACGAGAAGTCTTCGGAAACCGAACTCGCCATAGACAGGGTTCCAGCTCACACGCTTGAAGTCCCAACTCTGCGAAATCGACCTTCACGGTTTCCCACCAGTGCCGAGGAGCTTCGCCGATGCCGTACCCTGGCTTCATGACCTTGAGCACCTCGCCTTCCTTGACGTCGAATGCGCGTCGGAGCACGGGATCGGGTTCAATGAAGAGGCCCTTCTCGAGCTGGTTCGCCTGAAGGAATGCCGATGTCACGTCGCCTTTGATCAACTTCCAGTGGTTCGCGGCGGCCACGGTCAGCATGACGCTGCGAGCCCCTCGGGAAGCCGTTGGACTGGCAGTGGGCTCCTTCCCGAGGGCCTTCGTCTGGTAGCCGAGGAGTACGAGCCGCGCCTTAGCCTTCCCGTCCGACTTTCTTGTGAAGAGCCAGCGTGCTCTAATGACATCTGCAGCATCCTGCACTCGTTCGGCTGGCACGGGTCGTAGCCCCTGATGTTGTTGCCAGTTGTCGACCTCCTTCGCGATGGCCACCTCGTACTCCTTCCGTTCCTCGGCGTTCATCTTGGACCAGGTCAGCTCAACTTTGTCCTTGCGGCGCTGGTTGGCCAGGAAGCTCTCGGCCATGTTCGGAACCGCAATCGTCTCGGTGACCTGCTTGCCGTTCTCCTCGCAGAGGTGCTCGAAGTAGACCGTCTGGAGCTCGTCGCTGCCGAGAACGATGTCCAACTTGTCCTTGTACAGGTCCACGTAGAAGTCCATGTCATCATTGGTGTCGTTCCCCTTCTGCCGCTTCTCGGGCGGTCGGCACAGGTCGAGCTCCGGGCCGCGGTGACTCATTCGATAGCGAGGTCGTGGTTGTGCTGATGATGCCCTTGATGATGAAGCCGCTCCGCTCGGTCTCGGTGGGACAGATGCTGCTCGTGCTGCTGGTGCCGCGGGCCCTGGCTCACCAGGAGGTGGAGCAGGTGGCTCCTCGGCAAGAGGTGCTTCAGCAGGAACTGCGGGTTGCCCTTCCTCCGGTGGAGTCGCAGGTTCGGCTTCAGGCTGTGTTAAAGATCTCGGCGTCGTGACCCGTGACGTGGCGGGCGCGCCGTTCGCCTCGGTGTCCGCTGAAGGTGGTAGCGCGGCAGATTCCCCTGAAGCTGGTTCGCCCTGTCTCTCGTCAGGTTCGCATTCTCGGAGTCCTGGGCGCTGATGGTCAAGAAGGTCCTCGAACGTCCCCGACTTGGCGGTCTCCAGAATCTCCGTCATCGTCTTCCCAAGGTTGGCTTGCTTCT